TTATAGTTGACATGCAATGTTATTCAACATCAGCTTCAGAAATACAGTGTGGTGGTCAGGCCTCTACACCGACTATGAAGTGGTCTTCCTAACAAGCCATGAGTCCATCTGGCCCCCTAAAAAATATTTACAACATTATTGATTATACTCCCCAGACTGTCTTTTCTATCACTGAGGCCATTTTGTAGTTACAAATTTGTATTGTCTTGTCCCTTCCCCTTCACTTCTTCTTATAAGGATACCCATTGTATTGGATTAGGGCCTACCCTAATTCAGTATGACCTCATCTTAAATTGATTATACTTGCAAAGATCCTATTTCCAAATAAGATCACATTCACAGACACTGAGGGTTAGGGCTGCAACATATCTTTTGGGGGAATACAAGTCAGTCTATAACAGCCCCTTGATATTTTTCTCTCTTGTTTCAATTTCTACGTCTCAGATCGATTATTCTTACTGTTGGGAAGTGGTTTGGCCAGTACAGTTTTAGTTCATTATGTTAGTTTGTGGATTAGACCTTGTATTTTTCAGGACTAACAAAGTAGTTGCTAGAATCTTCTCTCACTGTTTAAACTTTTAAATTTGTAAGCTATTAAACTTTAATCTTTTTGAACCCTATTGTTTTCAGTTTAAAAGCGCACTTGTTATCCCGTTTTCTACTCCCATAAACTTCTTCACTTTAGTAAAGCACAATCATTAAAATGATGGTATAATAGAGTACAATCCATTTTCACTTATTAATCATTTCACCCAGAAATCCACTAACATTATCTTAAATGCTGGCAAAATTAATATTCTACAAAGATTATAAAAATACAAATAGTGACTTTGGAATTAGAAGTGTATTTAGAAGTATGTAGAAGTATAGTATTTAGAAGTGTAAAAGTATTGTTTGGGCCGACTGAGTGGCGCATTGGTTAAGAGTTGGCTTGGGGCGCCAGCTCTGAGCAGAAGGGCCCCAGTTGGTATCCCACATGAGGGCCAGTGACACTGCGCTCTCTACAGCTATGATGGTGAACAACAACAGCTCAACCTGGAGCTGGGCTGCCTTGAGTAGCCGGCGACCGTGTCGGCTGCAGCCCCTGCTGCAGTGGGCTGCCGTGAGCTACCATGAATGGCTGGCACCCAGCTTGAGCAGCCGGCAGCAGGCATGAGCTGCTGTGAGCCGCTGTGAGTGGCCATCCAATGGCTGGTGAGCGCCTGCCTCACCCAGGAAAAGCGCGATGATAATACCAACATGGGCCAGTGAAGCAACGTCCTGTACAACTAGACTGAAGAACAAAAGGACAGTAATTTGTTCTCCTTTCCGGATTCCCCAACGCTGTTCCCCAGTAAAATCTTTAAAAAATAATAATAAAAATTAAAAAAAAAAGTATTGTTGATGCCTTAACTTTCAAAAAATTTTAGTATAGCAGGATTGGTAAACTGAATATAATATATTTTTTGTTTGTTTCATAGCTCAGGAATCTTGCTTTTAAGAAAATTCCCCAGAAATCCTCCCATGCCATTTGTAACGCTCAGCATGAGCTTTCGTTACCAAACCCAGTACAGAAGGATTCACGAGAAGAAAATTGGCAAGAGTGGAGACAAAGAGATGAACAGGTACAGCTAAGTAAATAAAATTCTTTTGCTTTGATTTTCAATGAATGTATGCATTTTTAAGATGGCGTACATCTGAATCTATGACACCACTGTTCTGAGTAGCTTTTAGTATTGGATTAGTTCACATCTGTTTGTTGCTTTTAATAAGAGATTCTGCTTTTCATCTGGAAAAGCAGATTGATACGTTTATTATTTTTGTTAGTTTTGAAACTTCAAAGTTATTTTGAGTTTTTGATTAATCTACCTTTTTACAAATGAGTGGAGAGATAGGTAAGGTAAAACAACAGGATTAAATTATTTTCAGTAAAAAAAACTACATTTGTAGGGCTAGAATTCTCATTAAGAATATCCATTGACAGTTTTGCTTAAAAAAGAAAGACTTAGAGGAGAAACTTTTCTTTTTCAACCTTGATGTAAAATGCTTTATACAGTTTGTTTCTTTAACCTATTTACATGATATTTTGTTTTTTTATGCCTCTGTTAAATAAATATCAGTAATAACCAAATCAAATAGATAACTTATTAAGGCCAATTTCTTCTTTTGTGTTTGGTGTCCAAGAAAACATCATACTAAGCCTGGAGTGTACTCTAGGAGTGCAGTATATATGGGAAATGAAGAGGTACTTGTTTATCTGTTAAACTGTCATTTGACCTATTGGGAATAGGAATTGCTTAACAGATGTTTGGCTTCATAGAGTGGCTGTACCTATCATTCTTGCGTTACCAGTTTTGTTTTTTTTATTTTTAATTTTTCAATTACAGTTGACATTTAGTATTATTTTATATTAGTTTTAGGTGTATAGCATAGTGATTTAACATTTATATAATTTACAAAGCGATCCTCCTGATTAGTCTAGTGCCCACCTGGCACTATCATACATAGTTATCACCATATTATTGACTATATTCCCTATGCTGTATTTTAGATTCCCATGACTGTTTGGTAACTGCCAATTTGTACTTCTTAATCCCTTCACCTTTTTCACTCAGCCCTCCAACTCCCCTCCCATTTGGTAACCATCTTGAGTTACCAGTTTTAAAACAGTTAGACTATAGTAAACTATGCTCTTAACATAAACTATATAAATTATAGCATTTGCTTTAGGATTTTGTAGTGCCTCGGGCTCATCATTAAAAAAGTTAATTATACTATGGCTAACCAAAATGGTGTTCAAAAGATATTTCCAGGCACTGGTATACTGGATAAATAATTTTGTATTATTCTAGCGATTTTATTTGATTCCTTTTTCCCCTTCCACAGCATTTTTCTGGTTTACAAATATAAATGTAATGATATACTTGTTTAGACAGTAATAGAATTCACCAGTGCCTTCACCAGAGAGAATTTCTTCCAGTGGGCCACTGGAAAATTAATGAGGGAAAGCTACTCAAATTTGCATCAAAATAAATTCCACGTAATAAGGGAACTTGAGCACAGATATTTGATTGCCCTTCTTCCTGCCCCACTGATTGCTGTCAAAATGATTTGGTAATTATGGAAAGGAAATAGTCAACTTGGCCTTGACCCTATATAAGAACAGTTGGACAGTATACCACTTGGAATTTATTTTACTGTGTGGAATAATAGATTTTAAATAGGGACCAGGCAGTGACTATATTAGGCAGAAAGCATATAATTATGGTGGGTGTTCTTTCTGACACAGTTGGGAATCATCACTATTCCAGGTAATGAGGGCTAAGTCAGACAAAAGGCTGGATATACTCGTAGACACTTTGCCTGCTATGTGGCTGTGGGTTTAAACATAAGAGGTGAATTATGCTAAAAGTTTACTACTCCTAAATCACCAGAGTGATAATTAAATTTACATCAGCTAAGCCCCAGCATAAAATCTGAAAGCTGGCATTAAACAGCAACCACCACATAGTAAAAGAACAATCCACTCCACCTACTTTATGAAAACACACTAGATCTTAGTTGATCTCATGTCAACTGAAGAAAAGTTTCTATCACGTAAAAGGAAAAGACCATTGTACTTAGTGTCCAAAGTGAAAGCACACTTTGAAAAAATTTGCTGCAGGGAACAAGAAGTTGATTTTAGATAGCATCTATTCTTTTCTTTAATAAAAACCAAGGGTCTAGAACATTTTGTAAAATTCATGGGGGGTAGTAATGTTATGTAACAAGGTGATACAATAGTCTGACATGAAAAAAGTGGCTAAGAGACAGAAATTGAAAGGAGATGGGTGAAATAAAAAATTGGAGAAGTAAAATCAGCAGAATTAGAAACTTTATTAGAGGGACTAAGAACAGAGTATACACTGAAGACAATTGAGTCAATTGTGTGAAGGAAAATTTGAGATAAATTTTGCCAATAAAATTGACATGATAGATTGGAACACAGAACTGAAATCCACTAGAGGCATAATCACTGTCCCTGAAATAAGTAGAACAGAGGGAGTCATTAAAGATAATGTTAATAAGAATTTTCCGTAAGCTAAAGACTTGAATCTAAGCTTGAAAGAACTGAAACCTTTTTTTCTTAAAGACTTTTTAATTCTTTTAAAAAGTTCTTAATTTCAAGAATGAAAAACAAAGAAATATTAGTATAAATATATGCATCAGAGAAAACAGGTTGCCTTAATATTAAGGATGAAAAAACAAGCTGGGTAGTTTAAATGCCAGAATTGAAATGTTAAGACCAGGAATTGTATCTAGCCAAAATGTCATTTGTGTGACTGCTAAAGAAATACCTTCTCAGATGTGCTAATGCTGAGAAAGCATATCACCATTATCCTTTCTGCAAGTTTTTCAGTGGTGTGCTCCTGCTAATTAAAATGCAAATCTAAATGAAGAGCACAGCAGTGGGGAAGCACCAGTGGTGAGCATTGAAGCTAGTTCAGTATAGAATTAACTGTAAATGTGGTTATTAAAGAGAACATAGCTGTATCCTGAAACTAATACAACTAATATAATGTTATATATGAACTATACTTAAAATTTTTTTAAAGAGACAGGAGTTCATGAAATATTTTTCTCATAAAATGGTTTTAAATCTGTAAATACCTGTGCTGAGGAAAAATGGAACACAGTCTCCTGGAAATTTTAGAGCTTGCCATAGTTTCAACAATCAGGAAATAAATACCAGGAAATGAGAGAACCATACAGATTTATTTCTAGTCCTAAGTTTACTCAAAGGGACTATCACAGTCATGAAAAATAGGTTGCTGAAATTGGGAGACTTGGGTGTCTTTATTTATACACACACACACACACACACACACACACACACACACACACACACACAC